TAATCATCATATGAAAATGATATAAAATAATTAGACATTTAAGAATAATGTAAAACATCCAATTGTACATAGAAAATAGGGTTATCACTTAGAGACAATCATTGTACAATATACCTTCACCACATCTACCTACAGAGTGTAAAGATGGTAGATTCAAAATATCTGTAAATATCTGAATGGAACAAAAGCATATGTCTGCAATTTTAAGTTTGCGAAACCTTCCTAATACCTTCTGTTAAAACCTCTATAGCCTGAGGAAGTTCAAGATCTTTCAAATCGGCAATGAATGCTTCCATTTTTCCTTCACAAATTATCATTTGGTGTTCCAGATCCATAATCAAACTCCATCTAGATTGATAATCTTTTCCTTTTAGCTTTTCATTATACAGTCCTTTAATTCGTTCAATATTATCATGCACCAGTACCATTCCAAACTTCAAAAGTTTTCGTCTGTGAGGTGAAAAAATTCTCACATCTCTCACATCTCTTAGCTTTGGACATGATGGTATTTTCTGTTCAATTTCATATTCCAAACCAAATGTGTCTGTTGCCTTCATGGTAGCTTTGAGGACTGTTGAATGCATATTTCCAGATGTAATTAACAAATTCAACAAGTCATTTGTACTTGAAGCTTTGTTTAACAGATGAGCATTTTTTATAAGGTCTCTGTACAAAACTTTCAGTCTACTGGTGTAATCAATATTGTCATACCATTCTGTGAAAACTGGCAACAGCTTTTGTAAATCATTATCATCGATTTCTGAGAAGTATATAAAAAATGAAAAAAATTTAAATTGTTTTTCTCTTTATTGCAAACATCGCACATGACATAAATCAGAGAGTTAGAGACTTTTTGTATTTTGCGCTCTATAAATTAATAACCATTAACCATTAATATCAAATCTTGCTCTAATAATCATAAATTATTAAATCTTTCTCTATAATCACTTTTAGTTTTGGACCAAGACGTAATTTTTTTAAGTGGTTTATGTTAACTAAAGTAACATACAGTATTCCATAACTTACACAGCATTTGTAAAAGTATTGTAAATTGGCCAATTAAATTCTAATAAGACAAATCAAAAATCATTATTAAATCTTGCTCTATAATTTAACAATGTTCAATTCTCTTATATTTAAATGGAGGTCTTCAGCGGTGGACTAGATGTATTGTCCCTTAAAAATGACAAAAAATCATAAAAAAATAATTTTGAAATTAACTTGCTCATTTTATTAACTTGAGCATAGAAATTATTTAATTAAAAAAATGTGTACCCTGATTTTTAAACTGGATAATTATAATAACAATATATATATATAATAACCGGTGACTCAATGCATTCAAGTCCCTGTGACCAATATGGATTTCTTTCAATATTTCAAACAATACCAAGATGCGCATTTTCAATACAAATGTCAAGTCAGTTCTGCTCTTTCAGAAACATGGAGAACAACATCACTACAAGACAAGTTGCAAGTTTTTATCAATAAATGCATAGATACATCGCAAAAATCTGGTGGCCAAAGAAGATATCCAACAAGGAACTGTGAAACAAAACCAATGAGGGAGAGATCAGCAACCTAAAAAGAAGAGGGAAATGAGGATGAGGCCTACAAATGTTACCAAGTAGGCCCCAGACTACAACCCTCACAGAAAGAAAAACAGGGTAGACTCAAGAACAACTGGCGTTGCTCTACTCTACAAGACCTAAAAAATATCAATATTAATTCATGGGGGAGGCAAAAACTACAGCACAAGGATGAGCAAGATGGAGACTCATGGTGGACGCTCTATGCTCCCCAGGGGGTCAAGAGGATTAAGTCAGTGACTGGAAGTGTTTCTATCATTTTTCACTGTAAACTGATGGGTATTCAATTCAATTCAATTCAATTCAATTTAATGGACTTCACTTTTACAACAGTGGCACACATAAAACAAGTTTTATGGTGCATCCGAAATACCTTAAAACAAAACAAAATTAAAAAAATAAAACTTAATTGTAAAACCAAAAGTATGTTAATCTACAGTAAAACAAATACAGTATTTAAACCCTTAAACAATTAATACAGTAAAGAAAAAAGAGGTTGATAACAATACTGGTGATGCAAATTCTACAAACCTGTCTTAAAGAACAGAGGCTGTAAAAAAAAAAAAAAAAAAAAAAATTTTAAATACACTAATTTCTCTGTCCAAGTTGATAATATTTATGTCACTTGAAAGGGGACAAGTTAATTTCAAGAATACTTTTTACAATTTTTTTATGTATTTTTCAAGGAACAATACATTATATTATATATATATATTATATATATATATATATATATATACAATATATTAAGACATATGAATGTACATTATACCTTCTTCCCCAAATCCTACCACAGTGTTTGAAGATGCAACTGAAATGTCTGAAAGTGAAACACAGAATCAATATATAAATCAATATTTGAATATCAGTAAATAAGAATTCAAGTTTAAATTACACTTACAGCTTAAAATAGATTGCATTACCAAATATATAATTGGCATTTTTTATTTTCATTTATTACTTATTTTGGAAAGACAGAAGAAACATTGAATCAAATAGTTATTAAATTAAAATCAAGTACTGGTCATGTAATCTTTGAATAATTTCATTAGGTTGAAATGTAAATTGTAGAATTCTTAATTTAAAACCAAGTAACAAATATATACTGTACTCCTGACAGGACAGCTGGCAGAGGGCGCTATTCAAGCCTGAATAGCGTTACTAATAACATCTAGCTCCCAGCTTTATTGCCTGACGATGATCCACTGACAGTGGAACGAAATGTAACAGTATACATATATATTTGTAACTTGGTTCAAAATTAAGAATTCTGCAATCAGCCACTACAAATACTGTCTGCATTGTACTTATTATAGGTACCGTAATTAAAAAAGTTATTTCAATTCATTCTGTGAATGGGAAAGAAATAATGTGAAAGAATACTCATGAATAATATCTCTTGTGATCATACTGTATTAATAAGAAATGTTTAAATTAAGTTTCTTAAATATTGAATTAAAATAAAGTATACAATACCAGTAATTCTCATGAAGTAAAATGCAACATGAAGTACAATGCAACAAGAAGCAAAACTGCAAGGTATCAACAATTTCATACATTAGTTTTGTGACTCATTTACATACAAGGTAATATTAGCCAGGAAAGTTTGAATGTTGCCTTGTTTTCTTTCATAAAAAATAGTATAAACTGTATTACAAATTGAATAGTATTTTAATGTGGAATATAATCTAATATTATCAACCAATAATATTTACTGCACACTAAAAAATACCTTCTGTTAGAGCCTTTACCGCTTGAACAAGTTCATTTTCCTCCATTTTGTCAATGAAAGCCTTCATCTTTCCTTTCTGAATTATCGTACGGTATTCTAGATCCATAATCAAACTCCATGAGTCTTCATATCCGTTTTCTATCGGATACAGTTGACTGATCTTTACTACATCCTCATCCCACAGTGCCATTCCAAGCTTCATAACCTTCTGTCTGTGATGTGTGAATTTTGATATTTTTTCATCTCTAATAATTAGACATGATGGTATTTTACGTTCTATTTCATTTAACAAACCAAACGTATCTGTTGCTTTTATAGTATCACAGAGGATTGAGAGATCTTTTGAATTCAGTTTTCCAGAAGTAATCAACAAATTCATTAATTCCATTGTCACAGACGCTTCAATTAATTTACCATAGTCGTCCACACAGTCTCTGTACAAAACTTTCAGCATTCTGATGTATCCGTGATGGTCATACCACTCCGAAACAATTGCCAAAATCTGTCTAAAAGCAGTGATGCCTGGGAAGTAAACCAATTCTAGGTCTTAATGCTGTAATGATTTTATACAGTAGTAGTCTAAAAATAAACTCATAGCATGAATAAAAAAAAAAGAGTATGACAGGGAAGAGAGTACACTGATTGACATCATAAACAAAGGATACCAACGCAGCTAAGGGAGGATGCCCTCTGCCACTTTTATGCTCTTTATATTAACCTAGTATGACACCATGCACGGTTTGTTTTCCACATGATATAATACTTTTGCAGAGGACGGTAGATTTACTTCTTTCTTTTTATCATGATACCGATGAAGAGCCTGCACTTCCAGTAAACTAGAGCACAACAATGGTGACTTCCACTTTAACTAGGACAGTGATGCATTTACAAACAGGACCTTGCTCTCTTGCCTTTCTATAATCTTTGATCAAAATATGTAAATAATGCACAGCAGAGATGTATAATGCACCAATTATAAAAATTATTGAAAAGATTATTAGGCCTATGCCACTACTGTATGAGGTGAAAAACGTGGTTGTACTGTAAGTATTGAAAACAACTCTTACTAATTATTTACTTTCATTTTAGTACTCACACAGTTTACTGCTCAGTCAAGTAGAACGTGAGCGTCCAATCAGCGCTAAAGCCTGGCAGTTCCACTTGGTTGGTTTTCCGATGTTGTTTTATTTGCTAGGCTGCTTGCATGAGGTTTGAGGCTAGAAATATGTGATGATATCTCGCGAAAAAAGTAAGAATTCGGGATGGGCGGATATGTACGTTTGACGCTGGGCAGAAGGCATTAAATTTTGCTTTAGGCTGGGCGGTAGACTTTTAGGCAGGGCGGCCCCGCCCGGCTCCGCCCTGCACAATTACATCCCTGCATGTTGGTTAGCAATCATTGTAGATTTTAGCAATCACTGTGCTTAAAGTTTAATTTTTTTTAGTTTTCTAAATTTATTTTAATTTTTAAAATGACTTACATTAAAAATTACTTTCAATTA